AACATAAGTATCATAAACCACGATACTATTGATAAGAGAGTGAATCTAATACGATTGAATAAATCGAATAACTAACAAACGACAGTTTGCTGACACAATTATATCCCTATACATAAAGAGAATACTGGGTAGCTTTTATGTCTTACTTGGTCATTTGAGTATGAGTACCAGTAGGAAGAGACATTAATTACTCGGGGAATTTTATAACCTATATTACACGCTAACATGTTTCCAAGATAACAATCTACAATAACATTTCTGATATTTGGTGACAAATTTCAGCGAATATATTACAGTAGACTGTTGTATTCTACAACAATATGGAAAAGAAAATACTGAATTTAACAGATAAGATTTTTTAAAAAATGATTTTGTATTTAACACCACCCAATTAATAAAACAACACTTTTAACTACAGATAGTACATGATATAAATGAATACTAACCTGAGTACGTTCATTTATTGGTAAATCATATCCTTGTATTTTTTTGGTCATATCTTCTAAATCTGTAACAATAGCTAATTTGTATTGAGTGAAATGTTGTAAAAAATTTTCATGAATATTTCCATCACCAAATGAATCAACATTTTTTCGTTGACTATTAACAACTTGACTCTGTGTATGACGTTCATTTAAACGATTTAATACAGTTTGACGATTATTACTGACATTTAATGGAAAACTTCTATTTTCTGAAGATTTCTGATTAGAATTCATTATTCACAGTGTATTATGTTCCAAAATGTGAGGTATTTCTTCTAAAACAATGAGTAATACATAATATATCGATGCACTAGCAAACATCATTTTCAATTCTACTCTATGCCACTTAAAACGATAACAGAATAAAAAGACAGCTTAGTAACAAGGGGCGAATTCACACATTTGACTTCGGGTCAAACAACTTGTGTGTGTCGCTGATATTAATCAATGTAGTCAAACTCGAATAAGTGGAACGTCTCTTGAAATTACGGTTAATGTCAAGAAGTCAAGCGGCTTAACTATTAAGTTACCATCTATTGGATAAAATCGATAGTTCAATATACTTTTGTACAATTTTTAATTTGTGCACTTTCAATAAGGTTTCAGTTTTAAACAGTGAGCTCTATACATGTAGTCGATAAGAAACTCTTTTCGTTAAGTCATGATCCTTTTAAATACACACAAACATTCGTACTACATTGATCTTTTTGGGTATACTACTTCATAATTCTTTTTCAAAGTTAATATGGACTGGGAATACACAGATAGATGATTAGGGTTGTATATTGTTCTGCAATAAAAGTACGGCCACATAACAGAGAAGTATTGTTAAAAAATTAACCAGAAGAAAGCATTTTAAAAGTAAATATAAATGGAAACTCGAATTTAAAAAATTAATAACGTTCATTCTATTGTACCTACTCTGAAAAGATAACTAACTGCCAACGGCTATGCACCAATATCTAGAACACAGAGGTCACTGAATGTCGGTCAAACACAAATAGCGTAAGATAAATATGCATTAACCCTCAAGTTGCTTTAACATAAAAGAGTATGTATAAGTGGAATATATAAGATGAAACAAAGGAGCAGGGATAACACTAATGGTAACGAAAAACTAAAAGGTAAACGGAATAAACAAGACCCGAGAATGACTATTATGAAATGATATTAAAGATTTATGGCAAAATGGAAGATGAATGCATCCCTGGCAGTGAAGATTAATTTGGTTCCCAATAATGATTAATAAATATTTGGCGAACTCAAACAACGAAATCTGCACTTGGCAATAACACTCAGATCAAATGAGACAGACTTCATTGGACTAATATCAAGTCTTGATATGATTAATCTGCTCAAACGTTTGGACTATCCATTTTCCAACTAAGCAAATATTGCAATGAACCCTTGTTTTGGATTTATTTAAATAAAATAATTACGAATCGCATCAGTGTACTTTTGCGGTACTATGAATAACTTACAACCTATCACGATGTTAAATGCTGAATATCTTAAACTGAAACACTGCATTTGTCAGTATATTCCCCTCTTTTTCTACTCTGTTAAAAAATTGAGAGATTAATATATATTGGGATTCATGAACTTCATACCTAATGGGTGAGGAAAATAGATGTAGCACCAGAAAACTGATAGTAAACTTTCAGCATTGATGAATGGAAGGTACACTACTGGGAAGCACATATAAAATATTTTTTCTGAATAATTACAATTAGATATGTGTTGAGGGGAAATTTATTGCAATATTGCATAGTTGATGTTGAGAATCCCTCACTTTGACCTAATTCATAGTAGTGAATGAAACTATCATTATGATCGTTATCGGAGAAACAATAATAAATGGAATAACAAGTAGAACCATGTTAACTGTGGATTCTAAGTAAATGAGCAAACCTCCTTGTAGATTAATTCCTGAAAAATTAGATGAACAGCTTGTGCTTCCCATGACAAAACCAAATAAAACAGGGACAGCGGACGACACCGATGAACACCACTAAAAGTTCACAATTTCGACCGAGGCTCGCTATAATCTGTGATTAGACCAATAGCGCTCGAGTAGAGCCGTCACAAGGTATATGTGCTTTTTTGGTAGGCATCTGGACGATAAAAACTACCACAGAACCACTCAATCAAAAGGTTCGAATACTGCATTAAGGTTTAGAAACAAAACTATATTCGAGTGCGGCTAAATGTCCGTACATTCTAAGAGCGAACATTGGTTTTACATATACACATCCAGGTCTAGAACGAGCCTAGTTTTCCTTAGTTTGTTGTTCACAAGCTCTAGTAAAGCTCTGGATGATTATTGAGGATAGTATTAAAAGCACTATGCTAGCCAAACTAATTTACCTACAGCAACAGTGTAAATCAGATAACTCAAACCTTACCAAGCGACACCGAAAACAAATCGTTTTCACGAACTAGTTTACAAGTATCGCTTTCATAAAAATGGCAATGTCCATAACTTCGGCATTTGAGCATGTCAATAGTGTACCCATTCAAATAGAGAAAAGGAATTACAAAATTTAGAAGAATTCCCAAACTTCTGACGACCTTTGAGGAAACAAGAACACTACAGCATCTGGTAAATTGTGTGCAGGAAAAATGTTCACTACATTATCATTAGTGGTGACACAGGATATTTTATTTGTATTAACATGCATTTATAAAACTGTTAAAAATGTTTAGGGTTTTGCTAAAATTGACAGATTGAAGACACATTTTACATAACAGTCGCTGATTTTGTTTTTTATTGAGTACTGGCTAAGGTTTATAAATTAAGGAAACTGACGGGAGCAAAAGAATCCATTCTTAATTTCCTTCAAGAGTCCAAAACAAATGAGGAAATCCGTAAGGCCGCTAATTAACATGTAAATTAGGGAATTTTGTCCCAACAAATATATTTGGACATTGATAAAATTCTTGATACAGCTGTTTTATGAATAAATGTCTATCTACAATACTATAAATACCATTGTATATTGTTATCCTCTTTCCTCGATTAAAAACCGTTACAAAACCATTTCATACTTTAGTGCGAGTTATAACCCGTAACCCAAAAGTTGAACATCAAGTGCTTCGGAATCCTTAACCACTTGTGGATGTACAAGCTGGTTATTACACTACCGTGGTTCGTGTGTGTACAGTTTTGGATGCACTATATCAAACTTCACATTCATGTGTCACATAAGTCGGCTAGCTGGTTTGATTTTCATAAAAAAGGATATGACTTAGAGAGATGATAAAAAAGCCCATTTCATCATATGATAGGTCCTACTATTACAATCACTTGATTAGTGACACATTTTGATCACAATGATAACGATGGTGGGTAGGGATCTTAGGAACATTCCTTTATATGAATTGAATTTCATTCAAATTAATCAACTTAGACACTGAAATCACTCAAAAGTAATCTGTGGCTTGAAGCTACTGAGATGTTAGATTAAAAGATATCAACCTACAAAATGTTACAAGCTGCTTTTTGTCTCAAAGAATAACATGAATCGGTCGATTCTATCATTTAGAAAGCCTGCGAGATAGAACAAACTGGTGATTTAATAGTTCTCAGAAAAGGGTTTTTGTGGATATTATAGTAATTTAGTATTTGAGTTCAGCAGTGCGCATCCACGATCCCATCCCGCGAGACTCGAACCCAGGACCTGTCGGCCTCGTACGCAAACGCTTAACATTTAGACAACTGAGCCGACAACTTGTGAATTTTGAAGTAACAACCATCTCTGTCCCATTAATCATACATTGAACAGCTTCAATTCTAAGTGGTGACAATTTGAACCGATAGCTCCTGTATAGCATTACTGTTTATTTCAGTTGATTAGAACATATGGGGCTTCAAACTCAAACATTAGTGTTTTCTTTTATAATATAAAGAGCCAAAGGTCTAATAATCAAGATGTTTTATGCTAACTTATCAAGAAGTGCATAGAATCACGACGAAACAATATCCTCCTCACGAGAAATTACTCTCTTCGTTATAATGAAATTGATGTCTAGGTTAGTACCACACGATCCCTATCTATGAAAAGAAAACGCTAAATCAAGCCAATACAAAACCCGGAACTACAAAAGTATCTACTAGTATAACATGTAATTTAAGGATTGTAAGCACATCATGTAAAAACCAACAGGACAGCTGGCAAACAATCGAGAACAAAAAGGAAATTACGTAATAACATTACTCTATATTACTTCAACGTGTTTGAGAAATACAGGCTTACAAAAAATAAAGTAGTAAAATGTTTACTAGTGTGGAGACATTAATACGTACATACATACAATAAATACATTGTATTCCTTATTAGGAAAACAAGATGTGGGAACACAATTTCTTTTCTTTTTTTTAAAAAAAAAAGCTATGACAATGATCATGTATGTGGATGATGGATGGTGAGAGAAATAAAAACAGGAAATAATTTCGCTGAAGAGTTTAGAGTAATTGAGAACACTGAAAATTATTCAGTTCCAGTGGAGTTCTCTCTAGTTTGTTTCTTTTTCTTTAATCACATTATCAGATGGATGAGATTCACCAACAGAAGATAACTTACGTTTTTGAGTCAGAGGTTGACAACGTACTGGGCTACTGTGTGATGATAGATGACTACTGGATCGTTTAGATGATAATAAAGGAGATGTGTTTTGTTTTTTTGCACGATTTGGAGATTCTGTATACATAGAATGATGCTGGTCTTCCTCCATTAATTGAGGTTCATCTCCTAAAGCGAATGTCTCGCTACCATCCGATAGTTCACCAGCTTCTAATTCTTGACGATGAGAATTATGGAAGTTTTTGCTCGTAAAAGTATTCGATGAACGCGGTGAAGTGTAACTGGGACCACGATGTTGATTTGTAGAAATCGTAGAACTAATAAACTTAGCTTCGCTGGAAATATCATTTAATGAAGACCATCGCTCATCGCTTTTTCCATGTTCGTCCCTATCATAATTCTTCTTGTCAGAATCCTCAGTTTTGTTTACTTTATTATCCGACGGATCACTATTAATTGAAGCCATACGACGCCGCGCTTGTATATTTTCTTCAAATTCTGTTTCGAGCTTTTTCCGACGCCGAGCAATGAGAGCTGGAAAAGTAGGCATCCAAAAAAAAATAAACAAAAGTGAAACACCAACCTTGTAAGGGTTAACAATTGTGGATTACAAGAGTCAGTTACCAGTCAGTTGACACTAACGCATAGCCTGGCACAGATGTGTTTCCATAGCATATTAACACAATAAGATTAACAACAACAACAAGACCAAAGGTATCACAAAGATACTGTTAACTGTAATATCTATCCTTTCAGCAAGTTATGCAGTTGACCATGAACACTGGAGTATGAAAAAAACTAATTTTTCTTCCACAATATTTGGAGAAGAATAAGAAAAATAATACGGAAGTAAAGTTTCATTAACTTTGAAAATAAGACACTAACTGAAACACCGATAATAAAAGTAGGATGCGCTTGCAAACAACACTCGAGTTGTATGTTTGAAATTGGTTTCTCTCACTTTGTTTTCGGTACCAAGGGTAATACTTATATTAATCAAACAGTAACTATAATTTCATATCAAGTATACAAACTTATAACGAATTTATAGTTGCAAGTTTATTATACCTAATAGCTAGTGTCGTATGAAAAGTACAAAATCTTGGAACGAAGATGTTTGATTATAAATACATTTTAGTAATCCTGATGTTTTGGGCTAATCAATAAGGAACAGCTTTGTTGTTATGCTATAGAATAAAACTATTTCGTGTGTAGTGAGTTTGCGCCTTGATTGAGATAATTAATCAATATGCATATAGAAAACGCCGGTGATTATTGTTAAGAAGTCTAGTGAACTTAAAGTTGAATGTTGAGAGATTTTACAACAGCACAAAGTAAAATATAATCAAGATGAGTACGATTGACAAAAATTTTCACATATTGAATTTAGATCATTTAAACAATAGACAAAGTGATACTCAAGTCGGATGAACAATATTTTGTTCTTTAACTATTAAGTGGTTATATATCTTGTCCAGAATTTTTTAATTTAGTACGTCAAAATAGATCCCAAATGAACATGCACGAAAGACATAACACATACTTCACTTTACAAGAGTTAATCTCTAATTTCTCCGAAGGGTGTAACTATGAGATAGTAGTTTAGGAACTACTTAAAAATGACCTGTGATTATGTTGGTCGTTTTTCGTAACTTGCATATGAATAGAACATGCCTTGTTATATCTAATCAATAAAATGTAATAACAATACGAGAATGGATGGAATAAAAAGGCGAATCATTTCAATTAGCAGAGTAGTGTAAACAGCCATAGGTGAACTGAATGTTGATCTTATGACAATGAATTTAGAATTAGGTATTTATGTAATTCATAAACAAAAATCAATAGCGTATCATGTTTCTTATAAATGACAGTGTAAAAATAAAAACCAACCGTCTATAGCGCGAACCGTTACTTCTATACGCCATTTTGACTCTTCATTGTGGATTTTCGGGCGATAAAATATATATGGTGGTTTTGAAGTACGACAAAAACCTTTCATTTTTTCCTGTTGCTCCTTCCATATCTCAAACTAAGAAATATTTTCAGTATAAAAAAGTCAATAATGTTAGTTAGTTAGGCTTAGATTTGCAACATTATCATCTATAACATTCAAAAATCTTAGATATGGTTTTTAGAGGATTACCTATTGAGACATGAGATTAAAAAAGGTTTCACATGATAACAATATAGTGGAAGCCAAATCTACTATGCAGAAATATGATAAAAGTAGATTTCTTAAACGAATTAGGCAGAATTGTGATAGCATTTGATACTGTGGTCAACACTAAGCTCTAAAATCCATAATTTGTCAATTAGTAGGTCGTAAGTAACTGAGAACATACCACACATACTTTTGTGTTATTTAGAATAAATATCCAATCTTTAAGGATAAAACAATTTCAGTTGGTTTAATCTGTGTCGTAAGTTATACAATGTTATTTTTAATGCTATAGTCATTTTAGTTTTGTGTGCCACTTTAGAACACTGACTCGTTTAATTGTTGTAAATATAAGGAATTAAAATCAAGAAAATGAGAGTAAGACTGAAAATTCAGTTTTTGGTACAAATGAAATGTTTAGGGACTACACACTTGGAAATAGTGATGAGACGGTTACGCCAAAGCTAATAACTTCAGTAGTAGGTGTTCATAATTATGTAGTATATTGTGTATTTTGCTTCCGATTTGACATCTATAAGTTATGTTGTGAAATGAACTCCGAAGACAGTAAAGGTATGAGTAAAGATATGCTGGCGATTTGCATAAGTCCTAACTGTTTATAATAATTAACAATGCCTACTTCAGGAAATTACAACCGAGTAAACAGGCACTTACTAATGGCAAGCTAATCACATTATGTAACATATACGTGGTGATTTTTACAGATAATCATGTTCTTTTACTACTGATATGACTCTAATAATGTAAAAGATCGTTTGAAGTACACAAACCTTTTTCAATAATCTCATTTTTTGTTGTAGAATGCTAACTTCAACGTGATGTTCTCGTCGAGTACGAAATAGTTCTGCGCGTTCACGACGTAAGTTTTCTTTTTCTTCTTTTGCTCGAGCTTCCAACTTAGCATCAACTAAACGTCGTTTTTCCATTTGAGGTTTTTTGATTGCAGCTGCAGACTCAGCTTGGAACTGCTTCAATGTACCCTGAAGAATCCCAAGCATACGGCGTCCTCTATTCAAATAAAGGAAAAATGATATACAATGTAAACGTTCTTATAGTGTCCTATTGATCTTAAGCGTAAAAATAGAGTGGATCGTGAAGCTTCGATTGAAAGAGTTCATACATATTAGGATGTATAAAACTGCTCCATTTAACAATAAGGATCAGTAAAAACTGTACCAAAGGTTGGGTTAGGATGGTGAAATAAGTGACAGATATGTTTACGACATTTTCAAAATATACCTAATACTGATTTGTTAGTATATTTACAGATATGTTGGCTTTCAGAATGCTCGACGTAATTTAATTCCAAATGCACATCCGAATCCAGTTAAATGACAACAAACATTTGAAAATAAATAGGAATGTAATTAATTTGCCGAGTACAAGTCTAATTACTTGGCTTTGATGATGACCTTTTTGTGTAAGCATTAGTCATACAACTTAGGTAGGTTCGGTGCTTAAACCGGATTAGTGGACACGGAGGGTCTACCTAGGGGAGTTGGAAAACCCTGATTTCAAATCAATAGTGCACATAGGCTCCAGTGTCCTGAAGGAACAATTGGTGCACGAACCTATTGTTGGTCACCGGCTACCATGGGACTACATCTCCTTACGTTGCTTCACTGCCTCGTGGATCATACCTTTAGATCGAAGATTCCGGGTGTGGCCCCTTAATAGAACCACCTGCTTCGGTCTCAGTGCCCGGGTAGTATCACGGCCCACACAGAAATCAAATGACAACTACTACTGAAAATATTATTCTTGATATAATTAACGTTCAGATATATCAGATTCACTTGATAACATCATTACGTAAGGACCGAGAAGTCTTGTGGTCCAATGAGATGGAAGCAGCAGTTGCATCTGATAATTGCCGGGAGCTCTTTCAACTCATCCGAGTCACTGGCACTGAGAGGTCTGGTGTGAGTGAAATAATCTATGAAGATAACGGGATGTCAATTACTAATATCTATCGACGTCTTGGACGATAGGCAGAGTTTTCCGAGGGGCAGTTCAACTGATCTGCTGCCCAGTAGACATCGATCGGACTGTTCTACTCTCCATGGCCTGTGACGACTGATCTACCTAACGAGACTGCAGTCTGCAAGAAACTCCAACTCTTGAAGCGCTATAAATCACCAAGTCCAGAAAACCTACCTGCGGTCCTTTCTAAAAATGGTGGCAACCTTCTGGTTAGGGAACTGACTACGTTGTTCATAAGGGTTTGACAATTAGAGAGCATTTCAACATTGTGAAATGATTTGGTAGTTGTTCCTACCTTTAAAGTGTTCACGTCACACATCCGACAACTATCGGGCGATAAGTCTACTTTTGATTGCGTCTAAACTATTGGCTTTCGTCATACTTCGTAGATTGTTCAAAACCAGAGAAACATTGACCAACGAGGAGCAGGCTGGTTGCCGTCTAGGTCGAGGATATATTGATCATATTTTTACTTCCCACCAAATGTTAGCACACTGTCATAATCATCAAGTTGCCAACAATCTTAGTGTTTCTTGACATCAGGGCTGCCTTCGATTCGTTGGATAGGACTGTTCTCTGGGATTGTCTATTGAAGAAGGGTGTGTCTGAGAAGTTTATTAACATTTTAAAAGCCATATATACAAACACCTCAGGCAGTGAGAAAATACAACCACATCGCTTCATTGTTCCATTCAAACAGTAGAGTTAGGCAGGGTTGCCCAATCTCATCAATCCTCCTCAACTTTGCTATCGATGATATTCTGGAAACAGCTTGGATGAATGTAGGTAATGGTGGTGTGGATCTGTTGCCTGGGGAAAGACTTCTCGACCTTGAGTATACGGATGATATTGTCTTACCAAGCGATGATACCCAAGCCATGCAATCCGCACCTAATCAGGTGGCCGTAGGTATGGTATGTGCTTTGTACCTTCCAAGTGCAGAGTACTTATACAAGACTGACAGTACTCTGACCCTGCACTCACCCTAGGTAATGAGCAGATAGAAGTAGTCGAGAAGTTCGTGTATCCGGGTAGCTGCATAAATGCTGATGGTGGCGTGAGTGGTGAGATCGATTCACGTATAGTGAAAGCCAGAGTGGCTTATTACAGTCTAGGCCATCTTTGGCGCCTTCATGACGTCAGAATAGAAGCCAGTGATGATCCTGCCGTAACTTTCTTTTGCTTTCTTCACAGAAAACGGACGTAACTTCTTTAACTGAAAGGATTAATTCTGGTTGTACTTTTGCTAACAGAACTGCCTCTCCCATTTTTATTTCACTCTTATACACTAATTTCTGTTCATTGTTCACCATATTTTATATGCACTTTACATTCTTGATTTCTTCACAGCCTTATTGTTGTTGTGTGGCGTACATTTGTTTGGTGCCCCTTTGTACCAAGATTTGTGTTCAAATAAATAAATAATAAGTAGGTAGGACAGAGTTTAAACTTACGACATACTGGACGGAGGTCAAGTATTTTAACTACTCGGCTACCACTTCACTACATAGATTAAACCGCAGATGAAAAAATGAAATGATGTAGTATTTATACGACTGCAGTTGTATGTTTACCTTTCTTTGTCTGACTTTTTTAATTCTTTGGCTGCATCTTCCCTAGAACGAGTATCAGTAACACGAACAACAGAGGATGCAACAGAAACCTATTCGGATGGAGAAAAATAAATAAATGGAAATATTCTTCGATCAATGGTGAAATCATATGACTGTGAAGAAAAATCAACAGTGTCATTTATGTTACAATCATAGACATAAGTACCACACTACATAGTTTCGTGATCCGTCATGTTTATAGAACTCAGGTCTACTTAGATTATTTGTTCGAACGAGAAGCGAAGTGTTTGGTCGTTGGTTATTCATTCATATTTCCATCACAAGACTATGCGAAAAGTGTTAAAACTTGCCACAGAGTTAAATAAGTTAAGAGTACTCAGAGATTCAAGTACAGAAACTAACAATAAAAAGCTAGTGATAATAAATAGAGAAGGGGAATAAAGGTTTGGGTCAATGATATTCAAGTTTAAGAATAGAGTGTGGATTCATTTTCACCGTTGTAATAAATTTCGAAGCATTAACTTAGTTCTTTGGTCCAAGCCGTAAATAATACACCACTACACAACTCGGATTAATATTAGGACCTTATACATCATAGCTACTTTATTTAATGTAGGTTTACGATCTAATCCGCAATTATTTACCTAACAGTAGTATTTATTCAGTAATTCCAACAATTGCCAGAAGTGTTTTGACCATACTGTGTATTATGAATAATCAGTTTCTCCACTTTACCTTTAGTGACGAAGTTAGCCATGTAGTAATTTGTTGCTTTTTGGAGCTGAGAGCTAAACATATTTAGTGAAGCCGAATAATGTACACTGAGTTGCAGTCGAATGGCATACTTGACGGTTACTGAACTAGAATTATGCTAAATAGCTTCTGTGTTGGAAATAACTAATGACTGGTTTGACTTATGGAGTGGAATGTGATTTTGTTACTGGGGATTCCATGGAGATAAGCAATTATCACTCCCTCATAAACTCATGAGAAATACAACATTATTTTGGTTCATTACACTAACATCTAAGAACGATTCTCACACATTGACAATTTAAATAGGGCGACCTATGCTCCTCGATGAGGGGTAAAAGGGGTAAGTGTCGAGCTCAAAAGGCTGTTTTCTAAAATAACCAGACAAATTAATCTCATCATTGTTAGCATAAAATCAGAATGTATGTATTCACTCTTTGTCAAGGGCAAAACCATCAAAATATCTGAGCAACAGTCCTTGTCATTTGCTTTTAAATATATATCTGGTACACTTTGTTAGGAATGACGGTCAAGGAATCTGACATTTGATTGAGGAGTAAAAGCAATGCTTTTTCTAATCAAGATCCCAAGAGACAGGTTTGATCAAACAGTAATTACGTCGCTGAAAAAAACTGAAGGACTTGCATTGAGAAAAGATTTTCAAACCCCTTGAGTGAGTCAGTGGTTTCTTTGATAGAAAACCATGATGGATTACAGACTTTCTATTCGCAAGATCAAAAAAGGGTTGTGGGCAGTGACACTTTCGAACATGTACTTTAAAACTCACTCAAACAACAGGCTCGTATGTCTAGACAGACAACATCTAGATCTCAGAACGCGAACAGATAATTATAAACGTGGACCCTGAAGAACGTCTATCCGTCCGAATTACCACTCTCGACACTGGTGCAGTGAGACGAGATAGACAGAAGAAATACTAGCACAAAAAGTCAAGAAAAGCAATAAAACTACACAGATGAAACCGGGAAATGAAAAGTATGGGATGAAACAGTACTCATTATTTAAGATTGCCACAGCGATAGACCATCTAGAACATCTAAACAAAGATCAAGATTATTTTGAGGACCCCGACCACGTGATCTGAATTTTATGACATGGTTCATACTTATAAGTAGACTAACGATTTCTATTTAGCACTATACACCAACCTTCAGCACCATTTACACACGGTTTTACAATAAGCAGAACGTACCTCAAATACATTGGTGATTAAATGAAAGCAACTGACAAGGTTTCTGGCGGACGACATCCATGCTTCGTACTCATAAGTTAATAGATAGCCAACTGCTAAACAACATTAAGTTTACTATGACAGATCGACATATTTCGCCGGTACCACTGATGGCGCAAATTGGTGAAACCTTACCGAACATATGTTCTGTTAAAGATGAAAACTTGTTAGCTACAAACATATTCGGGTTAAGGCCCATAAGATCAACAAAGTATTTAGTTTCTGCACCCACCCACCACATGCTTACAATCAAAACTACAATCTTGCGTAACAGCCGTAACTCAAGGTTCTCTACTCAAACAGAAAACTAATGCAAAATTCTTAAACTAAACCCAATATCAACAGAAAGAGCACGCTTTGTCAGCAGTTTTTAAAACAAGACCATAATACAAGTACTTCAAGTCAATGCCAAACAGTTTTCCAAGGTTACACGGTGCTTCATTAGTAAAGGTTAAACCACAGGAAACCCTAGAGGAGAACGTCGAGTGTGATTAGTTAGATCTTAAAGACATTTGTTACTAGGCATAAATTACGACAGTTTTTAGATAAAATAATTGCAAGATGACATGAACGTATGCAACTTTAAACTCACTCGTAAATCATCATCAATAGGTCGCTTAATATCCTGAAGGCTATTTTCAAACAATTAATGTAAGCAATAAGAACCTACATTTTGTCATCATTTACTTTATCCGAAGAATCTGGCCTATTTCCATTATACGACGAAACGAAGAACAAACCTTAATTGGTTGACTCCAGCTATCCGCGCACGTATACGCTTGGAATTCGCTTCTCCTATACGTCTATCAGATGGATCTCGTCCTGTAATTCTTTTTATATCATTGTCAACTATTTTTAACTGCTCTTTAGCAAGTTCCAAGTTCTTCTTCAAGACATCAATAGATTCCATCGCATTAACTTCTCAAAAGCGCGTAAATTCATTGACCTTGGCTTTGCAGTATTCAATGTAAACTAATGAGACCATTTACCATTTATCAATTTTGAGGTGAAAATATATGTGAAGATCCAGCTCTTGCATGAGAAATTGATATGTTTCGTCATCAACTAGATACGTGCTCATTCGAAATGGTCGAGTGTATTGTCATCTTCAGTGAAAGTGGATTAGCTGCTGAAATGTAACTGTTTGTATCAGAGTCTAAAAGTTCATATATGTCACCTCTAAGGTATGTGAAGGCTCTCTGCTTCCCATACCACTACGTTATACGAAATCTCGTTTGTTCCCGCTTTATTTCCAAGCTTGTGATAGTCTTGGTATAGCGGAATCAGAAAGTATTCTCATAAGTCCTACATGAAATGGCCTGTCAAAATCTTCATTGAAATCGTGATACGCTACTTAGATGGACAAGTCACTATATTGTATTACTCCGAAATCTTTTAACAATGAGGCAGTTGAATATTTTGTATAGACATACTGAGTCCACGCAAATGTATACCTATTTCGGAAAAAGTTACCTGACAGAACATGTTAAAGCCAACTGTATTACTTCACTTCTGTTGTCTAACTTATGCTTAGCTGTTTGTCTTTAATGTCTTGTTTTTATATCCCTGTAGTATACCTTTCCCTGTCTAACCACCCGTCGATTTATCACACTCCATTATTGTGTTAACTGGCAAATATTTGAAATACACTGACTAATCGACACAGTGAAGTTATTTCAATAAAATAGAAACTATACATCTCCGCTACAGTCATGGAATTCTTCATTGTAATTCAACTGACGGTGCTTGAAGTGCGTCTCAATACAAATAAAATAAGACATTTGTTTTCGATATTAGTCTTACGTTAATATCACTTCAGTACAACTGAGTTTGCTAAATACTGCAGTGCATTTTTTGTTGGTTACAACGGTACATGCAAGTTGACTCAATTTCCTACATGCGAACTTGAAAGTTTTGATTTTATAATTCTTGATCAATTCAATCGTCCTGCGAGGAGCATAACAGGAAATTCATCAAGTCAAGACTCATACAACGAAGATCATGCCTCCGTGAATTTGGTAGTTCGTGCTTCATTGTGCTTTCCGTGAATTATTTTATTCGAATTCTTGTTGCTTATACTTCTCGGAACAGCAAGAAAGCATTTGTTTATATCTGTATACTTCTGCTCTGAGAAAAAACCAATTTAGACGTTTACACGGAACTCTGAACGAGACAACCGAAAAAATAAAACGGCTTAATAACTTGGCAAGTGGTTCAGCAATAATGCCTACAACACGGATTGATTATTTTAAGCTCAGAAACTATTAAATGTCTGCCTGCTTCCTGACATGTTAGGATAGACTTAAAGATGCCATAAGTGTTTGGAGTCTGACAGTGCCTTAACCAGCAACACATTTTATAATCAAAATATGCCAACCCAGTCAAATTAGGATTCAGAAACGAAGAGATTCGAAGATATGTTTGATAAGCTATCGATATGTCATGAAGTGATCAATACAAGCTGATTAGTGGTTGTAGATGTCGTGCTTTAGGATCCCATCGCCTTTCCTTCGGTGTGTCTTCCGGATAGGTTATAATATCCTTCATAGATTTGAAAGTCTGTGAAACTTAAATGTCCCTCTTTTCATGCCACTTTAAACAATTCATATAGCCCCAGTCTTTGAAGTTCTTTCTTTTTTGTATTCCTACGCAATTCTATTGTTACCAGCAAAACAACGAATCTGAAAAGCCCCCCAAATAACTTTCCTGTTCACTTATTTGCATAATCCTTCTTCTACTCATTGTGTCTGTGTTACGGACCAGGGATCTACTAGTAATTCTATCCTGAAAGCCTCTTTTGGCTTGTTCCCAAGTACTATTAATCCTATGACTGTCTTTCAAAAATTCTCAGTTCTCTGTAATGGATTTGAAATAACGCAACGAAATGTATTGTTCCCATTAGGCCTGCAACTTCAACAAGACATAATCCAGAACCCACATTCAAAGTACGTAGTATGAAATTGTGTGTTCATAATTATGGTAGGTTTAAACACAACAAATATTTTATAACTGTACACTTAATGTCAAGAATATTCACTACACATGTGTTCTTGTGTATGCTTCTTTCCTTTTTACCTTGAATATTTCAAGTTAGAGGTTAGTTTGTGATGTTGTTCGATAATCTATACAAAACGTTTCCTACGTACCTTCAATATTCCCTCCTTACTTCTCTTTCAGCTAGAAACCGGTTTCTTCCCCGTCACAGTATATTATTGTTGTTGGTTGCAGGTCGATTGATCAAGAGTATCTTAGGGAGGGGGGTTTTCATAAATACATGCATACATTTAGAGATTATTTTTGCATTTAAATGAATTTAGGCCTAGCACAGAGGGACTGTTTTAACGTTAGTGACAAAAGTTATGAGTTTGACAATGACTAACAGGTCTTTCACTTCACTTAACTTGCCAATTCATGCATTCATACCCACCTCAGATTAACTTCGTTTATCAGTGAAGTGGTTCACATATGTACGGATTTCCAACTCTTTCAGAACATCGTCATCAGGTATGATAAGGCGTTCACAAGAGTGATCAACTTTCTATTAGCATTACTAAAATCTCTTCACAAGCGACAACCGTTCAACAAATTCTTTTGAATTTGATTTCGCACATGACGCTTGCTCTATAACTTGTTGTTGTTGTTTTCAGCTAGCTAAATTTCTGCGGTTAAAGGTTATATTTTTCTACTATAGCACGATCAGTTGTACCGATTCTTTTCGCGTTGTTTGTTCTACCTTGAATATCAAGTTCCCATTAATTCGTCTTCTTGTGCAAGCCGTCAAGGATTTTAATGTGTTGTGTGTAAATGACTGATGCTGATTTGAAAAAAACCGATGGCATTAAAGCAGCTTAACTGTTTTTGTTCCTAGATCCATGAGCATCGTAGGCTTGTACTGAATCTCAGTGAGATCTATCAAAGTGTTACTTGGTCGATATTCATTATGTTGTGCACATGCATGTTGTCTCTTCCCTTGTAAATGTTGACGTCAACTTCAGTAAAGGATCGTCTTTTCCTGCATCTGTTTATGTTTATGAAATGAAATTGCTAGATCACGTACAAATTTTGAACCGTCCAAGACATCCACGTTGCAACATTCATTTAGGGCTTATCCTAAGATGCAGAGTCCCTCATAATCGAGTCAACAATTTACAGATGGAGGAATAGCGAGAATAAGCAAGTTCGTGTGAATTCAGTCTTCAGTTGAATTGCATGTTTGAAGTGACCTCTATGTATAAACCTGCAGTTTGGTCTATCTTAATAATTCCATATGACAATGGCGATCCCGGTTACTCTCTGGTCCTGAAGACGGTTCCAAAAGGGATTCATATCCATACTGTCGAATGCTTTCCCGTAATCAAGGACTTTGATGTGTAGTGATGAGTTCCATTTGATTTGCTTCCTAAATTTTGTCGTCAGTGTCGCGATTCGATTAGCACTTGATCGGTCCCCATGAAACTCCATTTGTTAGTCACGAAGTCATGCGTATATCGGATCTTTCACCTATTTCAGCAACACTATGTTGAGAAACTTTCTATGATATTGATGGTAGCAAGAGCCTTCGAGGTCACGAAACATGGGTCTCCTTTATTCGGTATCTTCACGAGGTGTGGATTTCCAGTGCGCTGGCAATTGTTCTTAAACCCTGAAGTTTTCTGACGATGAGGTACAGCAACTTTGCAGTCACATCTATATCTTGCCTCGATGCATCGGCTGGAATGTGCCTAGTCCTGTTTCTTCGCAATCCTTGATTTGTTTGATGGTCTTATCAACTTTTTGCATAGATGTCAGACAATCATCAGTAGAAACAAGTCTGCGTGCTAATTTAACTTCAGGCTGTGCTATTGGTGTTGATCTTTTCATGAATAATACCCATCCGTTCCTCTGAACGTGAAATTTAGTGAACAGTAAACTTTAATAGTTGCTGAACGATAACTCTAATATACAGCATTCCCTCGATATCTTCCTGATTGGATCCAAAAGCTGCTTGGTACTCTTATGTATTTTGGATTTTAAATCGAACTTAATGAATATATATTGGATAAACCTCCGTTGCAGTGAAACTACAACCCGGTTCAGAAGTCTTCTTGATGATTTTATTTTTGAAGGTGGATTGTGTCATCTATTGAATATCAATGTTTTTAATAATGATTTATGCAACCAAGGTCCGTCATCCATCTGATTGATTGAAAAGCAAAACGTAACTTTTGAAACTTTGAACGTTTATTTTAATTTATTTTCCCTCTGTTCATCTTAATATATGAAGTCTGTTTATGTATGTATCTATAAGTATTACTTTTATGAATATCATTATTGATCCTTCGACACATAAGATATTCTTTTCATCCTTCTAAACATATATTATTCCTAAATATCCAAAGTCTATAACTAGGAACAAGATATCTCACGGTACACTTAAATAGATTAACTTCTCAGATTCATTTTATGATCACCAAATAAATTTAACACATAGAAATTTATATTTGATTATCCTTTGCAATTAATCGTGATTTTCATAGAATCATTCTTAATTATTATTGCACAAATGTTTATATTAATATCCGATTTCACTATGTACACTATTACATAAATCTACATGTATTTATCCGAGTTCACTAAAGGATTTTTATTTTATTTTTCTAAATTGTTGGTTTGTTTTAGAGGTCGATACTCATTAAACAATTACCATTATTATAATCATGGTTTAACACTTTCACTAGGTTTTCACTTATTTTCCCTCTCTTTTTTCCTTCTTAATAAATATTATTCTTAACATTACGAAGTTTGTATTTAGGGCAATAACTTGTGCTACACTTAAATTAACTTTCCAGACTCATTTTATTTTCACTACACATGTATGACTCATACATACTGATAATTCGTTATCATTCTCACTTAATTGAGAATTTCATA